TTTATCTAATTAAATTTTTTTTAAATAAATTAAATATATTTGTAATAATATAGATATTTCAAGTTGACTAGATTATAAATCAACAGATCATAAGTCAGTCAAAGCTGTGACATAGAAAAAAGAATAACTAGTTGCCAACTGGTATACTCATATTAGTTGAAGATTAGCATGATCAAATCTATATGCAATGTTTTTTATTATTAGATTGTATATATGTATATATCAGCTAGTGGTCCTCGCTTATATAAAGCTAGCCAGTTGTCGATATGAGTTTAGAATTAGCAATATATAAAATTTGGCTAGTAGTTTCTCACCTACACAATGCATATTTTTGTCTATTTATTTATTTTAGAAGAAGCCCCACTCCTCACTCCAACTTATCCTAACTAACCACATTTTCATTAGGTCTGTTAAAATTTTTTTTTTTTTATCTATTTACTTTTATTAAGTTTTTTATCTTTTTTTTTTTACGATAAGTTAGAGCTTCGATCAAGTTTGATTACCACCAATTAGAATATATACATACACATGTAACAATTTACTTTTTCTATTTATCACTATATAAAAGCTTTATTTTACTAATTAAAAATTAATTGATTATTTTTTGTTAGAAATCTCGAACTTTGAGTTCTATTATAGTACTAAAAATTATAATTACAAGTATATATTATAAATTTTTATTATTAAAATATTATATTTATACATATATTAATAATATTTACTTATATTAAAATAATGCATATATTTTTAAAGATTGGTTAATAAAATTATTTAAAAAAATTATAGTGAATCCTTCTTTTTTTATAACAAAGTAACCTTCTTAAAACAGTTTAATTTTTATTATTTATTATATAATACTATAATAGATATTTATTATAACAAGTAGAATTTCTCTGTCTAATTACTAAGTTTTAATGAGAGCAAAAATTGTTAACGTTGAGTTTGTATTTAGTTATTACAAACCCAGATTTATATTAAATTAGCTAGTGTTAATAATTTTAATCTCAATCTCAATCAAAATCACAATCACAATCACTTTATAAATATAATATTAATTGTCAATTACGTAGTTATAATTAATCATTGTTTATATATTTAATCTTGTTTACATTGTTAAGCAGAATTTTTTTTTAAATTTATTTTTAAATTTATTTTCAAATATTTAATATGTCTAATGAAACCTTTATTTTCGATAATATTAGTGAACTTGATGCACTACCTGCTAATTTGGATAGCACTTTCAAAGTGGAATAGTATATTCGTAAAGCTCAATAATTAAAATTAAAGAAAGAAAAAAAATACAAAGCCCAATAACTGATCCAGCTACTGGCAAACAGTATACAAATATTCTGATCACCAAAACTTTGAATATAGATTCTGCACTAGTTAAAGAATACAAGGTAATTTTTATAAATATAAACAGATTTAGTAATAACTTTATAATAATATTATTTTTTTAAATAGAAATATCTTCGTAACTTGCAACAAAATAGTGCTTATTCAAAAAAAAGTAATATTAAATATATTCCAAAAGAAATTCAAAAGGCATGGTTTAGAGAAGCCGCTAATGAATATTCAGAGTTTTTAAATATAGCTAACGATGAGTTTTTTATGAAATACTTAGACAAATAATAAATTTAAAAGGTATTATTATTTTTTTAAATATACTGTATATTGTTATTAAAATATATTTTGACAATTATATGTATTAATTTAAGTTAATTATTTTAGACATAAGCCTAAACAACTGGCTTATGCTACACAAAAGCAACCAAAGAAACATACCAGAGAATTTTTCTGAGGATATGGATATTGATATTGGTAATATTTACTGTTACTTTTATTATGTTTATATTTATAATATTAGTAAATTATATATCGATATTAAATCAAAAAATATCTGATCAACAAGAACTTGATAATGAATCTGAGCAAGATACTTTGAATCAAGAAATGTCTAATCAAGAAATAGATAATAAAAAGGATACATCTAATCAACATACTAATACACCAGTTCAAGAATCATCTAATCAACATATTGAAAAAGATATGTCTAATCAACATATTGAAAAAGATATAGCTAATTAACATATTGAAAAAGATATGTCTAATCAACATATTGAAAAAGATATAGCTAATTAACATATTGAAAAAGATATATCTAATTAACATATTGAAATAGATATGTCTAATCAACATATTGAAAAAGATATGTCTAATTAACATAATGATGATACACCAGTTCAATATAATAAAGATATTGTTAATGAAATGCAAAAAAGTCCGAATAATAATACTGAAACTGAAGATAATCATTTAAAATATAATAATGATAAAGAAAATTAAAGATCTAAAAAAGGTTAATTTAATTGATTTATGTTTATTATATATTCATATACTAATATATATATTGAATTTTATATATTATAGTAAAAACTTCAATTATTATTAATAGCGATAATGATCAGGATTAAGAATCTAACAATAGTGACTTGGAGTTTACAAAAAATAATAATAGTAAGGATCAAAAATTTTTAATTATTAATATTATTTTTTTTTAAGCGATTCTGCTTCTATTTATTTTATGAACTTACTATACAATTATTACATAAGTAACCACCGACATAGTGTAATGCTCTATTCTAAGCATACTAAGTACTGCTCAATGCGACCTGCTAAAACAACTATTAGTCTCACAAAGGGATCCAAAACTCACTTCAGATTTCGTATCGACAAAGGATACCCCCCTTGATCATTTAACCGGATGTTGTATACCACGTCAGGATCTCTTTTTTCCCTTTTATTTCTTCTTTCTTCTCAAGGGGCACGAGACAAAAGGAAAAATTTTCAAACAAACAGTAATGAAAACTACCAGAAAAAAGAAAAAACAGAAAAGAAAAAAAGAAATACTGTTTGCAAAAAAGAAAAAACATAAAAAGAAATCTAAAACCCTAAAGGCACTATTATAACTCGTGCATGGCTGATAAAAATTATATAACAAATGCAACATTTGTATATCTCTACTATAAAGCTATGCCTTAACATTAAAATTACTTTCTGACCTTCCCACCAACTCCGGATAGCTTCGTTGTCTGTCTTAATTCGTATCTTGAGCCAGGTGCTGCTGTCATCCAAGAACTCGTGTCTCAAGCCACCTGCTGTCATAATTAGAGTTTCCAGGCTGAGTCTCATAAAAAAGCACCATATTTGTCCGTAAACAAACACGTGGTTGCATTCTGCTAGTCTGTCCGAATTTGGGAAGTAAAAAATGCCGATTTTTTAGAGGGAGTAAGCCAAATTCTTACTTTTTGTTAAAATTTTTTAAAAGACCGACAGAAGGATAAGAGAGAGTAAAAAGGTACCATTTGACCAAGTAAAAGGAGTGCGGCTTGAAGAAAGTAACGGAATATTTTGTTGTTCCCAGTGTCTTCAAAGAAGTATGACCTAAGAGCTTCGTCGACAAAGAAAAAGGGTGTCCAAAGAGTCCTCTTCTCCACCAAGATTTTTATACAAGGGCACCTCCTGCCAGTTATCTTGTATAATAATGCTCTTGGCTTGCATGCCAAATGTCGAATTATAGAGGAGTTCCAAAACACAGCTAACATTGACCTCTAGACAAACCGTAACATAGACCACAACTCTCCAACAAAAATTTTTTGTTTTTCTATTAGTGGGAAAATTTAGTTTTAGTGATTGTTGGAAAGAGTTTTGATCATTGGTTTATTAATTTAGTTTTTTGTTTGTAGTATAATTAATCTGCTATCTTTTTAACTTAGATTTTTTAAGCAGGTTTTTATTTTTTATATATTTTCAAGATTTATATGTTTTATCAAACTTTTTATAAATTTGTATCACTTTTGGCTAGTTTGTATTTCTTTGTACTAAGTTGTACAAATACCTCAAGATCTTCTAAATACTTTTATTCTAATACAACTCAAACTACAAATTCTGTAATCTAATAACTTGCAAAAGTGATTATAGTTATTATAATACAGGCTTAAATTTCAAATATTATCTTTATAAAGATTTAAACTCTCAACCTACTACTTGGTAAAGTAATAACTAAACCACTATATTAAATCACTACACTCTTAAATAAAATACTGTATTAAAATACTAAAAATTTACTATAAATTAAATATTAAAGTTAAACTATATAAAAATATAAATACAGATATATAGTAAAATAACTTCTATAGTAAAAAATTACTTTACTAAGTTTTAATTTTAATAAAAATAAATATATAATCAAAAGCTTAAATAGATAATTAAATACAGTAGCTAGTATAGCATTTTTAAATAAACTATTTAAATAAGCAATAATTAAAATAATACTGTATATATAAATCTTAAAACATATGCCGCAAAAATAAAAATATAAACTAAGTTTTGGTTGATAAAAATTTTTTTAAATCATATCTATTAAACTAATTTCTAAATTAATAATTCAATAAAACGATTTATAAATTGGGCTTGAATATTAAAAACTTAAATCCAAAATGCCTATTTAAACATTGAATTAAATTGAAAATTGAAGGCCAATACTGTATTTCTGTAATTAAATATATAAAAAATATATATATTAGAAAAAATTTAATTTAAATATATTTTTTTTTATTCAATTTTGATCATGCTTAGCCTATATCTATTGTATTGATTTATTTCCTATAATCTATTTCTAATTATCCTTACTATCCTTCTTTTTATAACTATGAAGCACATCTACATTAATACAATAACGCAAAAACTAGTAATCTTCAGTTTGTTTTAAGCGAAAATATCACTCATACAATAGTCGTAGTAGCTACATTCAATAATACTGTACTTTTATTTCAGTGTGCTTCTACTCAAATCCAGGATGATATTGTGATAAATAATAATAGCTGTATAATTCTATTCTACTTATGATAACAAATCAATTAGCATATTTAGATGAATTAGTCACCCAGAATTATCAGCATTATTTAAAATGAAAAAAAAAACCATAAAAAATGTAATAATCAAGTTAATCCATATTGGATTTTGACTTGATTAACCAAACGGAAATAATCTTCCAAATATTCATCATTATCCCGATTAATTTGGTTTGATAACCAGTTTTTAAATCCGTTTTGAATGGGGCACTGACGTGAGTAATGACTCTTAATCATAGATATTCCACTAAGTATTTTTTCACGTGTATCAAAATCAATGTCATTATCATTGCCCATATCATCAAATAATGTGTCCTGAAACAAATTACACCAAGTTTCAATGGCATTTTCAAATGGAGAAACAACATAATCATGTTGTTGTGGTTGATCAAAAAGACTAAACTTTTTATGAACAGCTGTGACCATATTCGGGTCTATAAAATCTGTGACAAATAAGGCACATTTTGCACGGAACTCATTATTTTCTAATTTTTGGTATACAATTGCCAACCGTGACAATCCTTGATTGTTCTTAACAGACTGTATTGACTCTTTGTTACCACGAACTATGCTGGATAAAGCGTATAAAAGACGAGAAGAAACTTTTATATCTGTTTCTGAAGATAATAGATCTAAAAGGTAAGGTATGAGATCCAATTTTAATGCTTCATCTTGAGCTAATGGATTATTCTAATTATGAATAATTTTTTATTTAAGATCAGTAAAAATGTATTTTAATAAATGGAGTTTAATAAATTTGCAATGATAATAATCCATTACCTGCATGGCAGTACCAATTACTAAAGCGGCTTTTCTTTTGATTTCATTTGAATTATTATCCAGAAGTTTAACGACTGAAATGAGACCACTGCCTCTAGCGAGTTTTATACCAAAATCCAATTCATGAACCAAATCTTCTAAATTATCCAAGGTGGATAGTATATCATGTAACGATTGTGATGTATTGATTAATTTAGAGATACATTCTTCAAAAAGTTGATTATCCACATGTGATATGCGAAGATTTTCTTTATGTCCAGGTGGTATAATCGGTAATGAACTATCAGTTTCTAAAGAATCTTCGTGATGTATATGAACTTGTTCACCTTGATCCGCATCAACTTCGGATGAATCTTCGTGATGTATAAGAGCTTGCGCATCTTGATCCACATCAACTTCAGATGATTCACTTTGTACAGGGTCCGAATTAACTGAGCCATCTTTATCAACTATGATGATGTCCGATGGTTCATTATTATTAGGATCTAGGAGTTTTGCGTGTTTTTTTCCAGTGTAGAAATCGATTTTCACATGAAGTCCTATAGAAACATTTCATGTTTAAAAGATGCAAAATACACTATAAAATTGTATGAATTGTATAATAAATTATCTAAAGTACCTCCAGGTATTTCTTGTCCTTCTAGGACTTCTTGGAAATAATTTGTTGCAACGAATACTTTCGGATAACAGCGGCCTTCCTTGTCACATATATTTTCAGTTGAATCTTTGTTCGCTAAAACAAAGCCAATAAATATACATAACAACAGTAGAAAAAAAAGTTTATTCGTATTATTTGGCATTATTTAAAAAGTATTAAATATCGTTATCGTTATAAGAAATTTGTGCATACAAATTTGGTTCACATTTTATTTTGTTTTAAAGCAACGTGTGTAACGGTTAAATTTATTATGCCATACGTAAATTTTGCACATTGGTACATTTGTTAGCATATGATTGATCAAATGTACGTAATAACGTAGCGATGTAACCAAATATATGTAATTTTTTTAATTTGTTGTATATATACAGTATATACAGTATATTATCTAGTCTTTAAGTATTTCGAGACATTTTTGCGGTTCTTCGTCATCATCTAGTGCACCAAGAAGATACATGTCTGAATTCATCATCTCAGGTAAGGTCTCCCAATGGTTCAAGTTTGTTTGAGGTCGTATGGTTGGCG